TATTCGAGTATTGGTCTAGCAAATGTTTTGTATGCTCTAATTAGTAGTGTAATATTACTAGAGAAAAAGCTAGGTAAGATTAGGTTAACAACTCTTAATGCCTTTTTGGCTATGTAGTTACAGTGGGCTCTACACTTACATCATTAGAGATGAGTACTCCAAGATCCTTGACAGAGTTTGGATCATCAACAATGTCTTGACTATTCAGCCTGTATTTTTATTTTCTGACTTTTTTTTGCCAATATGTAAGACAGAGCATTTATTTGTTGAGATTTGAAGTTGCCATTTGTTTGACCATTCTGATACATAGTCGAGGTCTTTTTGAAGGGTAGCAGTATTGTATGTGGTGCTGAATAGCTTTACATCATCAGCGAAGAGAACGCAGTTGCTCTTAATATGATCACAGAGATCATTATAACATAAACCAACCCAAAAACCCAGAAAAAAACCACCAGAGTACAGAGCTTCAAGAAGGACTCGGAAATTACTGAACTGCTTTGCTTCTTGCAAAGCTTTTCGTCATTGAGGTCTGACTTTTATCCCTTATGGGAGGGACAATCACCTCCCAACCTTACTCCCAAAGTCGCCCCCTCTACTTCAGCTGCTCTCGCCTTCTAGCAATTCTGTGCACACGCGCACTGGGAACAGGCTCCCTTGGGTCCTCTGCTTCGCTGCTGCCAGACTCCAAAGGCAGCACTCCATTCCCAGATGGTCCTGGCCCCATCCCTGCATCAGATGCAGGACCCTCGTTGAAGTCCTCTCCAGACTCCCTGACTGGTTCCCTTTCGTCCTCACTGTCTGATACCTCTGCTGTCTACACTGGCTGCCAGCAAACCACAACAATAGATTGCCCAGAACAGGGGTCTCCAACCTTGGCAAGTTTAAGCCTGGAGGACTTCAACTCCCAGAATTCCCCAGCCAGCTTTGCTGGCTGGGGAATTCTGGGAATTGAAGTCCTCCAGGCTTAAACTTGCCAAGGTTGGAGACCCCTGGCCCAGAATACTTCTAGGCAGTGACTCAAAGCAGGTAATTGCAGCAGTTCGCTTTTGAGGTCAACAGAGATGACCCATCAGACTGGGTTTCTTAACTAGGTAGCTGCAAAATGGGAAGCCAAATGACTTGATTTCCCTAAACTATTTAAAATACATGCAGCCTAGTGAGCTTCCACAAGCAGCCTCTACTCACATTGATAAGGTAGTGCAAATCCTAGAAAGTTAGGGCTATGTTATCACAGACCCAATCTGAAAGTAATAAAATGGAAAGGAATGGAACCTACTAATTATTAGCCCATCTGTTGGCTACTTACTACAAGTAAGCTAGATGCAAGACATAAATCTAAGAATCTACTGAATAGGCTGGGATAATGGAACAATGGTGCATTATGGCAGAGGAATAAGATGGTATTAGGGCAGGAGGTCAACGGTTTTATGTATTATTTATTTATTTGGCATATGGCAAGTATCTTATAAAATAATCAATACCACACAAGGGGCTTTGCACATAGAGATGGATGGCAGAAGAAATTTAAAATATAGTATAGATGATTGACTCTTGATGGGCTTCTGTTAATGGGAGTACAAGAAAGATAAGGTCAAGCCATTAATCAATGTCATCTGGCCCTCCCACTGGCAAATAACCCTCTCTTGGTCTCTTAGGATACATAAAGAGACAAGCTTTGAATTTTAAGACTGACTTAAAGCTTAGACTTGGCAGTTGTTGCTTTTCTGCTTTATTGGGGCTTCTTTGTTATCTGTAATGATAAACCTGCTTATTAAAGAGCTGCATCCTTGATTCTCTGTCTACTAGTCTTCCAGTTTGTATAACAGCCTCAGTGCAGCCTGACAGTTGCTATGGATTAGGATGTCATACAAAAATATCTCAAGCCACTTTAGATGTTACGTAAATTATCTAACCAGATCTCAACTCCAAAAGGTTAAGCAAGGCTGTGCATTAACTTCCCTTCTGTTTAACTTTTTATACAAATGGCACTCTCTGACAAGAAAAGAATGCCATATGTTTAAGTGAGCTAGGCATACTCCTTGTATTCAGATGGTGCAATTCCACTGATAAATCTGGCAGGCCAAAGAAACATATACTCCAAAAATGTGGAAGGCAAGTTAAAGCTGCCACAGAAAGCCGGGTCTAATGCTTGTCCAGAACCATAAGCAGCAACTGCATTCTAGTTGTCCTCCCACCAAGCTATTTAGTGTCAAGGTGATCATGCAAACATTTTTCTCCTTTCAAATGTGTTTATTTGGTTAGGCAAACTGTCAGTCCAAATTTATATAAGCAATTTTAGACACGCTGTTGTATTTCAAACCTCCATGAACACTTACTTGGGAATGCCATCTCCTGAGACCAGACCTCATCCATATTATTTAAGTTACTGACATAAACTAAGATTTTTTTCAACCAACCCCTGGCATTTCTAACCCTTCATGGTGGTTTTATTTTACCTGGGGGCGGGGGGGGGGGTGGGGGGAGGAAGGAGAAATATACAACTGCAATTTTCTTTCAAGGTTTTGATCCCATTTCACCTACACAGAGCTGGGATAATCATCAGAGGACAGAGATCAGATATATGAGTGATCAGAATGAGCTTTTTCTCCTGACAGTTTAGACAGAAGAGGCTTATAAATGGTCAGCCATTTTTCTCACAGGTGCAAATCAAACAAACTTATATATTATTGTTGTTCAATACTTTCACCTTGGATTCTACTGGAAGGGAAGGTCAGTGGTGTTTCTAGTGATCAAAATGTTTCCCATTGTGTACATTAAAAAATAGAATCCGTGGGTCAAATTTTATTCCCATGTCCTTTCTACAGGATATTGTGATCAATGTATATAATTATGGCAAGAATTCAGGAGGAAATATATATTACTAAGAACCAATGGAGTGTAGTGATTCAGCTGTTGGATTAGAAGCAGGGCATCCTGATTCCAATCTACTGTCAGCAACAGGAGCTCACTGGATGACTTTGGACCAGTCATTTTCTCTTAGCTCAGCCTACTTCATAGGACTATTGTGGGGAGAAAAAAATAGGAGGATGGAACACCACGTATACTTTCTTGAGATCCTAAATGAAAGGCAGGATACATATATAATAAAATATTACTTCTCTCCCATTAGAGCAATGTGTTATCAATGATGTTGCTGAATTCAGTCATATAAATGAAGCACAGTTACTTAAAATTCACTGGACTTGTATAAAAAAAAACTCCAAGGTGGGCCCAGGGGATATGAAATGTTCAGGGGGGATAAAATCTGTATTTCTGAGATAAAGTATCTAAGACAGAGAACACTGGCAGGAGAGAGGCAGGGCTATAAAAATTGGCAGCTAAGATGGAACTGGGCAGGCTGATGGGAAGGAAGGAGAAAAACAAGGGGCTGTGAGTATCCACAGGGAAGTCGGGAGGTGTGAAATCTCATGGGGTTGGGCTTTTTATTTCCATTATTTCATTAATTTTTGTTAAGAGTTTGTGCTTATTGTATATTTTATGTACATTGTATATATATATATATATGTACAAATGTGGTTCAATGTGTATTAAATACAACATGGAAAATGGGATGGTTTTCTAAAAAAAACTGAAAAAGGGGGCATGATACCAAAAAATTAGAGATTATTTCTTTCCTAATATTAATTCTTGTTTTTTCTTATTCTTTCTCCTCACTTCCAATGCTTCCTAGTAAATACATACCTAAACTTTATTCTCATCTCAGGAAAATCATTTTTTGAAAAAGGAGAAGATTGGCTTCAGGTTAACAAGCTAGATGCAAAATAAGCAAAAGACAATCCTGTTTGTCCTTGTATTTCTCAATCTTTCTCCAAACTCTTAAATTGCTTATAACAGGCCTCCTTCAGACATTAACTTGTCTATGCCACAAAGGAAGAATAGAACAGTTTTGGTTTTCTAGAATGTGACTGACTCTCACAGACAGAACATACGAGTCCAAAAGATGAAGAGGAAAAAAAGCACGGAGTGACTTTGAAAAGAAGCTTTTCACAAGATGTATAATCTATGGACAAGATGCTTGTTTCTTTATGCTCTGCTCTGCTCTGCAGCAAAAATAATGTTCAATTTTCAAAAGTACAAGAGACTTAATCTTATTCTATGTGAAAAACAGCTTGCACACTGTTAGACTTAAAAGAAAAAAAAACACTTGGCACATAATGAAAGACGCTGTATTTACTTCCAGTAGATAAAATATAATATTTGAAAGTTGTCCAGCACAATTTGAAAACCTTAGTATTTTAAAAAAGATATGTGCTTGCAATGAATACAAGTAACAGCAGAAAATAAATAAAAAGTAAGATATTCAATATTTATATCAACAGTATAATTTACAGTAAAGAAATGTAGAGGAAACAAAACAGGTAGCATAGCCCCTAGAAGCTTAGACAGACACTGCAAAATTAATCTGAGTCAATAGCTACCACATGGCAGTATCTCAAACAACACAGCACATATGGGTGTTAATGCTGCTACCCCTTCTCGAATCAGATAGAAGTTAACTACTTTATTTAGAAAGAAAAATAACACTATATCTATATATTAAGTACTGTTTCCTATAGTGTATATATACAAGCCATTTTAAAGGGACCAGTATTACATGTCTAAGCATCAGACCGGTGTTTTTTCAAACTTGGCAACTTTAAAGACTTCAGCTCCCAGAATTGCCATCACTACCATGTTGAGAAATTGGGTGGGCCCCAGAAAAATGTCACCCCCAGAGCACCCCCCAAAGCAATTTATCCAGGCTGTGCAGGAGCACAAGGCTGCGCCGCCCACATGGCCTGCAGGAACCCTTCACGCCCACTCACTCCTTACCCGGCAAACTTGCCTACTAAATTGCTATTTTTCCTCCCCCCCCCCCGACCATCAGCTGTTCTGCTGTGCCGGGAGATTTAGATTAGCTAGGAAGCAGGAAATGGTTGGATTTCTTGCTTTCTAGCTAGTCTTTAGATCTTCAGCTCTGCTTTTAAGTACAGCTGAACCTCCGTTAGGACTGAAGTTTCTATTATTCAGTGCAGACTCATGGCAAGCAAATTTGAGAGACTCAGCTAGCTGATGGCAGATAGAGAGATCACTGAATGATTCTGTGAGCAACTCAATCTGCCTGCCTGCTTTGCCTGATTTTGGATAAAAGTTGCTCTTTTTTTATAAAAAAAAATCAATATTTACAAACATGGTGTATTGTGAGTTAATTTTGTGAGTTTGCTTGCTAGCAAATTTTATGAGTTTGCTTGCAAGCAAATTTTATGTGACAGACTGAGCTAGCTGATGGCAGATAGATAGATCTCTAAATGAATCTGTGATTCTGTGAGCAACTCAATCTGCCTGCCTGCTTTGTCTGATTTTGGGTAAAAGTTGCCCTTTTTTAATAACCCCCCCCCAATATTTATATAATTTTTTATAATATTCACATATAAGCCATACACAGCTAGTCACATGACCACCAAGCCACACCCACAGAACTGTTAGTGGTCCCTGGGATTTAGTCTGGTGGTCCCTGAGGTCCAAAAGGTTGGCGACCTCTGGACTAGGGAATTCTGGGAATCGAAGTCCACAAATCTGAAAGTTGCCAAGTTTGAAAAATACTACCTCAGGGCTTGAGAAGGAAAACGTTAATCATCACTATTAGTAAAATACTGATATACAGGACTCTTCAGTGCAAAATTGGGGGATCTCTACAAGACAAAGTCTGTCCAGCATTGCAAATACCCTATTCAAACAGGCATATAGTAGTTAAAGCAATACTTTGTTTCTTCAAGTCTGACCTTCAGTTTGGCTTTCACCTCCAGCAACATATTTAAATCAATAGGCAAATGAGAAGGCTGCATCATCAGGCAGAGCCAAGCTCCCATCCATGGACATGCAGCAGCTACCACATACTGTAAAGAAGCTTTGCTCAACAATTCAAGCCACACCTATTAAAGAGAAAGAAAGAAAGCAAACACAGTCAATTTAAAGATACTTACTATTCTTAATAAGTCAGTAGCTTAAGAGCAAAACCTGTAGCACAGGGGTGTCAAACAAAAGGCTCGTGGGCCAGATCTGGCCAGCAAGGTGCTTAGATCTGGCCTGCGGGCCCGCCCTAGAAACAGTGAAGGACCGGCCCTTGGTGCCTCTGCTAGTGAAAATGGAGCTTGGGAGGGCCATGTGCATCCTCCCTGAGCTCTGTGTTTGCTGGCAGAGGGTTGCAGCGAGGCTGTTGTGGATGAAAACGGAACCCAGGAGGGCTGTGAGCGGCCTCCACAGTTCTGGTTTTGCTGGTAGAAGGATGCAAGAAGCCATTGCAGCTCAAAATGGAGCCTCGATGAGTGAAGTTGACCTGGCCACACCCACCCTGGCCATGCCCCTTGGCTCCCGAGGTCAAATACAACCTGATGCAGTCCTCAATGAAATTGAGTTTGATACCCCTGCTCTAGCACATAACAATTATTTTGGTATGAGTTGTAGCAGTTATTTTTCAATATAATAGTCAACTTCAGATAGAAAAGCTAAGAGTTGTATCTGTAATACCATCATCCTAAATTACAATTAACATTGATGGAATATTTTTTTCTCTTTTCTATTCTCAATATTCTAAGCCATTTAAATAATAGAATGTTAATAACTTTTAAACAAATAATAAAAGCATCAATGTGGAAATAACAAAATGTAATAAGATTTACAACATAATAAAAAGGAGAAAAATGCATGTTCTAAAACTATTGTGGAACATTATTTGTTCCTCAGTGAACAAACTATATCCAGACCCTTCCAATTTCAGTTCTACAGAGTTGCATTTCATGCATGGTGCTCATAATATCTAACAATTAATGCTAAAACTCAACCATCAGAAAAGATACACAGATTTATTAATAAGGTAAGGCAAACATAAGGCCTAATGGGACACATACCTTATGTATTAAATCTAAAATTTCTTGGTTACTTTCCAAAATACAGAACTGAAAGATATGCCTTAACATGTCTTGCAAAATGGGAGTTAGCCAGGTTGCAGATGTCTAACAGCAAAAAGGAATACATAAAATTATTTTAATTAACAGCAAACTGCTTTAACAAAACAGGTTAGAATTATCAGACTGCAATACTTCAAGTTTAAATCAATTAAATTATTCATCTGTACTATATTAGTTATATTTTTAAATACTGGATTGTTGTAATAATGAAAAATACTTTGAATGTGCTATAGAGAAAACAGAAGTGAAAAATTGGATTTCTACTTCACAAATTAAGTACAACCAAACTTCCTTTGTACTCTAATGCAGGAGTCCCCAACAGGGATGGGATTCTACCAGTTCGCACCTATTCGCTAGAACTGGTTTTTAACATTCTAAGCAGTTCGGAGAACTGGTTGTTACTGGCCTAATCCTGTAAGGAAGGCAGGAAGGAAACATTCTGGTGTTGCTTACAGAAACTGCCTCTCCGTTAATCCTTATTACATTCTTGGCAGGACTAGACTTCCTGTCTCAGGAACTTCTCTGGAGTTTTTTCCCCCTCCTTTGCTGGTACTTAGCTTGTGTGGAGTGACCATTCAAAGTTACAATGGCACTGAAAAAAAGTGACTTATGACCATTTTTCATACTTACGACTGTTGCAGCATCCCCATAGTCATGAGAGGCCAGGCGAGGAGATGCGTGCCTCGATGTGAGTGATATTGAGTTAGCCACACCCAGCCAATAACATGACCACAAAGTCACGCCCACCAATTAAGCAACACCCACAGAACCAGTTGTTAAAAAAATTGAATCCCACCCCTGGTCCCCAACTCCCAGCCCGTGAACCAGCACTGGTCCGCAGCATACCAGCAACTGGGCCGTGCAAACAAGTGCAGCCCCATCCACAAGATGCAGGCAGCATGCAAAACCACACCCCCTTCCAGTCCGCAGAAAAACCTTTCTCCATGGAACCAGTCCCTGGTGCCCAAAAGGTTGGGAGCCACTGCTCTAATGATAGCAATTACTCACCTGATCTTGTGTAGACAACAGAGTAAACAGAGTTTCTAATGCTGCTTTTCGGACAGAAGATATTGTGTGATGAAGAAATGGCCACACACGTGGTACCAGAACTGTGAGTGACTGCTGAATACTAAAACATGGTGGAGGAAAAAGAAAGATAAAAAATGAGTCCATAAATTAGTCAATACATTTTGCAATGCATATTCATATTTTCAGGTTGAAAACATTATCGTTTTGTTGATACAAGTCAGCTTATGTAGCCTACTAACATCTACTCAACTGGTATTAAGCAGTTCAAACATTTTGTCTCATTACTATTTTTAAAAGCTTATTTTATGCTTTAGGAAGATCCCCCCCCCCCCCCGAACTACTCTAAAAATGTATAGAAGCATAAAGATATTCGATAAATGTAGAGAACTCGATCCTAATTCACTGTCAGCCTTTTCTGATTTGGGGTCTCTCTCGGTCCAACGTATCCCACATGTTGGTTGTTTCGGGGAAAACTGGACTAGAGTGCTATTTTACCTTGAATGTCTGGAGGAAAGGCATGAGACATATCTAATGAATAACGAATGCATTTTTATGTAAAACCAGAATGGGAATACTTATTATATTGTTCAAGGATATAGAGAAGAGACAACTGCATACCACAGGAATCATGTGATCAAAGTAGTATGAGTAAATTTTGCACCCATTCCATTTAGCCACAGTGAGGTAAGCTACGTTTTTAAAGAAAAATATTCAGAAAGAATGAAAAAATAAATAATTGGATTGCACATTTAATTAAACAAGACTTGATAGGGCAGGGATTACAGGAGAAAAAGAACTGTTTGATTCCCAATGAAACTATTAAGCACAGAGCTTATGTTTAACTCCGATATTAAAAGTTGGGGGAATTTAAGGGTGAATCCCCACTCCCCCACAATACCCCAGATAAAATTGCATGTATTAAGTAGTCAGAAATGTAGATGACTTTCAGGGAGGAAATGAAACATGGACGGGAGGTGACCTATCTCATGTGGGGGAGGGGTTTGGTGAAATGATCATGAAGAAAAATTCTATACTTCATAGCATTTTATGGATTTACACTTTTTAATATACATTTGCTGCTTTCTCCCTGTGGTGAAAGAAAGGATTCTATCTCTCTGCCACAAAAAGTCCTCCAGAAATTTTATTGATCTTAGAGCTGGCAGCAGGGTTATCATCTTGAATCCCCCAGTACTAAAAAGGCTATGCCATGGTGCAATACATGTCTATTGTTTATTATTTTTTTACTGAACCAATTTACAGTGATTCAGGGCAACTGAATAAACCATCCACACAATACAACCCTCCTCAAACAATAATAAGATATATGCTGAATCGCAGCTGAGAGCCGTACTAACACAATAACATCTCTGTGATGTGACTCCTAAACCTCCTGACCCCCACCCCACCATGTCCAGGATCACAGCCAGGTTTTTAAGGGTTTCTGGGATACCAGAAATGCCCAAAACATTCCCGAAGAATCCATGTAATTTAAAAGAAAAAAATACATTTTAAATATTTTTGGATGATCTTGGGTACACTTATGATGAGTATAGGAAGATGAAGCAGGGAGGAGACTAAATGCATGACCTCAGGTGTTAAAGCAAATATATTATCATTATCATTCCTATCACACAATTCAAAACAGCTAAGGCAATATGTGCCTGCGCCAATGTATTAAAAATAATCTAAGATCCATTCTGCCAGCTGCACAATAAATAAGGTTGGCGATCAAGATTAAACAAGGAATTTCAACTAGAAAAATTACATAGATTACCTGCATCTTTGGACCTGAGAATAAGTTAAAAGGGATGAAAGAAGGGTCATGATGCTGTTTGTGGAAGCTGTCAGGTCATCTAAATCTAGAAGGGCATCCCACAGTATATTAAGAATAAAAGGTACCTAAAATATGAGCAGAGCAATGAAAAATGCATGAGGTCAAATACAGGACACCTGGGACTTTCTCCAGAACCAAGCCAATAAGTACAGAAATATTAGCATCTCTACTTACTTTCTCTGGCTGGAGGTGGACAAGGCTCTCTACGACTGGCACCAGAGATGCTGCAGCAACAGCTCTAACATCATCATCTAAATCTTGTAGTCCTTCAGTGATTGCAGGCAAGACTTTAGGTAGTAATGTTTCAATCAGATCCTATAAAAGTAAGATCTGTTAAGCTTAGGATCCAAGGATAAAAGAGATTTTGAGCCTGTGGGGAGAACTGTTTTCCAGTCATGTTCTCTCTCATGCCCATATCATTCTATTCAATAATGAAACCAAAACCTTATATAACTGATAGGCCAAGCATTAAAAGTAAACTGGAGCCACCTCAATAAAGTTTGGAAGATCTCTCTCTATATAAGCAGATTTTAAAAAATACCCCCTTCTTCGCCTCCTCTAATAGGCTTGACGAATGTATGTCAACTAGATTTATACAGTAGATTAGTTGTGGCAGTAAAATGGAAATTGAAAAATGAAGACTTGGAGGAAAAAAAACTCATGCCAGTCTAAAAACTTGCTCTGTGCTTGATAACCAGACAAAATAGTAGAGCATCAGCTGAAAAAAAAGAAGACAGCAAACTAGTTGTTCCATCTGCCTAAGAATTTAAAGCAAATATCCCAGAAGTGAAGAATGGGAGGGAGATGAAAGTCGCAATAAGAAAACAAATAGGGAACTTTTTCTGTTTTCGTGTAAACTATCCCTCAAATATAAAATCAGTTTTGGACTTTGTGGGATAGAATTAGAAGACTATTTCATATTTCTTCTCAAATTATAAATCCTCTTATCAGCTGCCTGACTAGCCAATATATGTTTCCTGCTGTTCCATAGTTTCTTGAGCTCTTAACAAGAACAGGTGCCCTAGAGATACATGACAAATTGTGCAGTTGGATCTGTTTATTTATTATTAATAAAGCAACCATTAATTTATGGTTAGAAATGATTTATGGGGCTTATTTGGAATATTAGAGAGAATTTTAAGCTCTCAAGTAAAATAAATTTAACCATAATAATTCCCCTCTGTGAAATAAAGAAACATTTAGGATAGTCCACATCAAGCTGCTCATACTATATCTCCAAAATTTAGCAGCAAAAAGTAGTAACATGTTTTTGTTTTCAAAATTAAGTGAAAGAATCACAGTAGAAGCTCCACATTTCCTTTTTTTTCCTCTTAAACACCCCAAATTAACATTTTAGGCCAATTATGTTCTTTTCCATAATTTAAAAAAGAATTTTGAAAAGGATTTTAGGAGTGAAAATGTACATGTAGAAAATAAATTGTTCTAATTCTCACACTTAAAATGTTCCTCCAAATGGATGATTATAAGTTTTTTGTTTGCAAACGAATTCATAGCATGGCTTGACTTATAAAGCTTTGCATGTTTCAGATCTCAATATCCAATGGAACATGTCCTTCCATGGACAACATCCACATGTTAAAATAATTATTATATATATATAAAATAATGATGTTTTTCAGTACTTCTTCACCCTATTTTGATATATTCCTTCTAGGATTTCACTCTTTAATTTCAAGCTTTCTCTTTTTCTTATTTTTTCAAGTAGGTCATAACTTTGATCATACATGACCGATTATAAGTCATCTATAGTTTTAAGGTTTTTTACTTCAGTTTTGATGATGTGAGTTTTTTTAAAGCTTCCATGTCCAATGTTTGAAATTAGCATTTATCTGCTATTAAGAAATTCACATGTATTTTACAAAAATGGCTTCCTCTCATATAACTACAAAAGTCAAGCAAAGCAACAAAAGTTTGAAGAAAATTTAATAGTTACCTGACGAACTGCTAAAGCATACTTTATCCCTAGAAGGCCTCCATGCCTTACTTCCCACTGCTCTTGTGTAAGTAATTTTAGCAGGATAGCAACAGTTTTATGAACTCCACTCTCATTCATATGTTTCAGCACTACTCCCAAAGTTTGAGCGCAAGTTTCTCGCACAGGTGCCACTACCTGAGATTACAGGAAAACAACACTCTTGTAGGTACAATTTAAAAAATGAGGGTGTGCAATAGAATTGTTGAAAGTGCATACTTACTTCATCTGAAATAAAATCACCAAATCTGTCTAAAGCAAATACACAAAGAAGTCTGATAGCCAGATCTTCCAGCCAATCTTGGTGTTGTTGAATCATCTGTTTATCAAAGAGATTTTAAATTGGTGAGAAATTAAAATATTTCCCCTTGGTATGAAGACTCTCATAAAAGCAATTACTTATTAAACCTTGAATTAGTATTTAATGCTGCATTATTTGGTACTGTTGATAAGCTTCCAGCAGAAATTGTTAGAGATAATCAACAATGAAATAGGGAAAAGATAATTGTGTTTTTCTATTAGACTGCTGTATTATAAGATGCACTAAGAAAGATTACTCTGTTCATGGGAAATTGTATTTATTTAAAAAGATAAGGGCATTTATACTGTATGAGAAAAGATACTAACCAAACTCCATCAATGAACAGTGCTAGGACTTCCGGTTTGAGCCTTTTCACGGACAGACTGAAACCGCGATCGTGCGCGGTTTCGGTCCGTGCTCGCTGCTGGAGCGCCCCGAGCCGGCTGGTTTCGGGGCAAAGCCACCCCGTAGAGGTGGTGAAGAGGGGGGAGACTGCCAGCAGGGTTGAAGAGACGCATCTCTCCTCCTCAGCTGGCCATTACTCCCTTTCCCGAAGGCGGCTTGCAGCGGTGGCCAGAAATGGCCACCTCAAAGAAGAACTCGACCAGAAAAGAATGTGCAGGAGGAAGATAAGAAGAGAAAGTTTTGGTTGACCTGGTTAAACTGCAAAAGCAGTTTTGGTTAAACTGCAAAAGCAACAACTAAGGTACCCTGCAATTTAAACTAAAAAAAAAAAAAATAACATTGTTCCCAAAGAAGACTTTGAAGCAGCGAAGGAGAGAGAAAAGGGAAAGGATTTGGATTTTTTTTCTTCTCTCCCTTTCCCTATACTGACAGCTAAGAGATTTAAATAAGAAATTGAAAAAAAAAATCCACTTTGACATCAATAGGCATTTAAGATGAAAATAGAATGTCAAAGGGATAATAAAGATTTCTGGATACTTAAAAGCTTTTAAAAGCAGGAAAGGAGAGAAAAAGAATAAAAGGGCAGGATCTGGAAAAAAGGGAGGAGACTGCCTGGAATTAAAAGGAATTTACAGTAAAACCTCAACAATACTTCTAAAAGATACATTTTAACTGAAACTTGGAAACAAAATAGTACAACCCCAGGAAGAGAAGGTGAAAAAAGAAGCATGAAGAAACAGCTTGGGAGTGTTTGGATTATTTGGTGATCTCTGGATTTTTGGTTATTGCATTTGAATGACTAAAATCAATCGGGTGGTTGTTTAAAAGTGTTTAAAATGGCACTACTTTTAGAAGAACTGAAAATGGAACTTAAAAAGTACAAAGAAGATGCACAAGAAGGGTGGTTGTTTAAAAGTGTTTAAAATGGCACTACTTTTAGAAGAACTGAAAATGGAACTTAAAAAGTACAAAGAAGATGCACAAGAAGGGAGAGGTTCTTTTGGCTTCGTATTTAGAAATGGAAATCTGGAACTATGAGAAACAACAAGAAATGCCTGCAGAACAAGAAGATTGGGACAAAGAAGAAGCCATCTTTAATGAACAAGTAATTTTATGTGGGGAAAAAAGGAAAGGGGGGAAAGAGAATGAAAAGTTTAAGATTTGAAAAAACCAAGAAAAGGAAGAATAGTTTGAAAAATAAGTATAATATTAGAAAGCAACAGAAGAGAGGAATACAGAAGAGAGAATTAGAAGTAGAGAGACAAGGGGGTAAGAAGGGGAGGGAGAAGAAGAGAGGGAAGAAGGAAAAGAAGTTATAAAGGACAGAAACAAGATATGGAGAAACAGGGCCTATTTAGAGATAATGGGTGAAAATTTAATTGAAAAAGGGATTCTGCAAAGGTACATAAGATAGTATTGTTATATTAGAAATAGAAATAATTTTAGAAAATATGAAACAATGTATGATTAAAATGATGGATAAAATAGTTATTGTAATCTAGTGAAATGTTTGTTAATAAATGAAGGAAATAAAATGAATGAGAGAATTGAATTAGGAAAGGATGGGAACATTTTAATTATTTAATGTTTTATAAAATATAAGGGAAGAGAAATAGGGGGGGAAAATTAATTATGGAAAGCTTATAAGTGTTCCCAAGGAAGTATGATATTTAATTGAAAAGAAATGTTAAAGATGTTAAGATTTTAATGAATATTAATGATAGAACTGAATTGGAATGGAATGAGTGTTTTAATTACATATATTTATAATCACTTTTTAAGAATATAGTGTGTATTTTAAGAATGTACCAAGCAGAATTCGATTGGAAGTTATGTATTATATTGAATGTTATAACCTCAAGGTATATATTGAAGCTTAAATAAGAGCTGAATGGATAAAATTAAAAGATATAAAGATATACTCCAATTTGTAACTACAGGAGAAAATTTGTTTAATGAGAAAAGAAAATATGAAATTGAAACAGGACAGACAAAAGTATAAATATAATGATTTGAATTGAGATAAGATAATTAAAATAAAATTGAGAAAATTAAGAGAGGAGAAAAACTATGTAGAAAACGTAAAACAGTAGTAAGATATGGAATAGAATATAAAAGTGAGCATGAAATTGAGTTTGTGTCTGTATGAAGAAGTGTAACCCGGGACCATGCTATTTTCAAAAAAAGATGTTTTATTTGTATTATGTTTTTTTTTTGTGAAAACCCAAATAAAATTTAAAAAAAAAAAGAACAGTGCTAGAGAATTAGTGCAATTCTGAAGTGGTAGACTAGGTAGCATACTAGCAAAAGAATTGTTCCCCAAATTAAAAGAAAAGGAATAAAGAGGAAAAGGTCTTCTATGTACAGCTTTCACATTGTGCCATGATAGCTTCCATCTGAACTTGTTTACTAAAACACTCCGTGAAAATAAAGCATAAAACTTTACCATCTGCTCACCTCCCAAAACAGTGATATAATCGATTCTTCAACATATTGTACTTTTATGTATAAAACCAAATAATAGATACAGAATCTGTATCAAATTCAATCATCTTATAAAAAACTCCATTAACACATAAACATTCTGAAGATCAAGACAAACTGATATACAGTTTTGCACTAACAATAGAGATCTTAACCAAAATGGAATGTTGGGTTTGATGCACAGAGCTTAAGCCTGCAACGAGATGTCCTATTCACTTTTTTGGAAAGCTGAAGACATTGCACTGTGAGTGTACAAATTCTGTTTTGAGCTTACCTCTTCTACAGTACTGTCTCCCATTTTACCGCCACTTTTCCCATGCGCTTTGAGTACCTCTCTCAGTCCAACACCTGCACCATGACGGATCTAAAAAAACACCGAACCCCCGCCTCAAACATATTAAGATTCTAGAACTATAAGAACAGAATTTTTCACCACACAAGATTTATACAGTCATATATAAACACACACATACACAACCCTATCTCTTTATTTTTACTCTTGGAGCAGCTAACTGGAGTTTGCTGTAATGTCAAGAGAACACTGATTATCCCTGCCTAAAATCTTACTTTCCTTGTGACCTGATTTGCGTTTATTTTTAATGTCCTCCTCTTAAATACTCGCATTAAACAATGCAATGCAGATACTAAAGGGAAGGTATGTTTGACATAATGATGCACATTTATCATTCTACTGTCATCATAATGAGGAAGGGATGCCTATGTTTTTAAATATATGGCTAAATTTATTAAGGGATAATTCATCCTACAACAAAGATCAAAGGAGCAAAATAGCAACAGAAAAGCAGATTAGATAAAATTGAGAATTTGTCAAAAGTTAAAATCAAATGAAAGCATAACAAAATAAATACAATTTTTGAACATCTGGAACTTAAATGAAATCAGTGTGCAAAAAGAGTATTTGTCAGGTCCACCACCACACTGTATTTCCAAAACCTAATCCATCTTTTGATTTAGACATCTTTTTTAAATATTCAAACCACTAAATATAAATATTCAAACCACTAAAATTTGAATGAAAGCAGTCTGAAGTAGTGGTTAAGGGCATCAAGTTAAAAACCAGAGAACCATGAGTTATTGAACTTTCCAAGATATGAATATAGCTGAACCACTGAACTGCAATGACCAATAAACGAACTTGTTAAGCAAACTAAAAATGACTTATGTAAGAAAAATATGCATATATTCCCAAAGTAATAACATAACAATATTTGAACTGATGTCATGCCTTGAAGAGAGTTTATAAAGGAAACATTCATTTATAACTGGTGGTGTGCTTCCATTAGTATAAACACTTGTTATAACTTGTTAACTATGTTATTAGGATATTTATGTGAGCAACTGCTCCAATTATTTCACCATTTATTTTAGATGGTGTATTTGTATGCAATTGATTGGTGATACAATAAGCATAAACAAATTATAGGTTGTTGGTTCCCAGCTGTAGTGCCAAAACATGGAATGTGCCTGTTCTCAGGAAATTTTTCCTCTGGGAGGAAGTTTAAGTCTTTTTCTGGGCTTGCTCTAGCCTGAATGCACCCATATTGTAGAATCATCTCTTCCTTACAATCCAGTTATTATCAAGGACAGAGAAAGAAACATTTACCTCCCAGGATGGATCAAAGAGATCATTACATACTTCTTCACAAAAACTTTCCAAAGGCCATTCATTGCTCTAAAGGGAAAAAATGATTGTTAATTGAAGTTATGCTTTTAAAAGTGAGGTTGTAAAGTGATGTATTACCATTTACATTTGGCATAATCCTCTGAGCATAATTTGGAAAAAACCAATTCTACACAATAATGAAAGTAATTAATATAAGGATTTAAGATATGTTTTTGGTCTAAAAATCCTTCTCTAGTCCCAACCTCTTCCTACCTCAAGTGGACAATTGAAGCAAGAACTCTCTGTTTCCCACTTCCCATTCTGAACCTCTTCCTTACCTCTAGGTCTTGAATCTAATGGTAGGCAAGGCCCAATAAGGTAGCCCTTGACTTATGACTGTAACTGAGCCTGAAATTACGATTGTTAAGTCATGGCAGTCATTAAACAGGTCACCATGTGACTGATTTTATAACTGTTTTGTGGCAATTGTAAAGCAGAGGAAATGTCATGGTTGTTAAGTAAACATGGCAGTCGTTAAATGAATCCATTTTATTCAATGAGCATTTTTTTGCTGCAAGCCAATACTGGTAAATATTGGTAACTGGGAAAAATGCTGAAAATCTTACTTAAATGATTGCTGGATGTTGCAAATGGACATAAATGTGAACTAGTTGTCAAGCACCCAAAATGTGATCATGCGACCTGTGTGTGTGTGTGTGTGTGTGTGTGTGTGTGTGTGTGTGCAGCAGAACTCCAGAACTGAGTTATAAGTATCTTTCTGAGGATCCATCATAACTTCAAATGGTTGCTAAGCAACCAGTTGTTAAGCAAACTTTAAACGATCTGAACTGGCTTGGCATTAAAATGAACCATTCAAACTGAAAAAGCTTGCAGTCCACACTTCAGCATCCTTAACTTCTCTATTTTGCTTTGATTACTATTGCTTTTAGGGGGAGAAACTAATGTCTACAATGAGCAGGATTTAATGGAGAGTGTTATTTGTTTTAAAAAGAAAATATTTCATTTCAAGTAAAGAAATCAAGTAATGATTTTCTGTCAATTAAATATATTACGAAGACTTTCTGTACCTCTTCTGGAACATTATCAACTAAAAGTTTGGAGTCAGTTGCAGGTTGACTGATGATAACATTTCCAATTTTTCTTCTTTTTTCTTCTGGTTCACCATCAGTGCTGTCATTGCTAGAAAAGATATTGAAATATTTGTCAAAATACTGCCATAATGATGGTCACATTACACCAAGGTGTCCAACCTCGACAATTTTTCGACTTGTGGACTTCAACTCCCAGAATTCTCCTGGCTGGGGAAATCTGGTAATTGAAGTTCAAAAGACCTAAAATTGCCAAGGTTGAACACTCCTGCACAACACTATCTGTACTTATACTACAAACAAATTTGCTATGATGCTATTAAAATCATTTATATTAGGGAAAATATCTTTTATAAAGATATTAAATTATCATTAGCAAATGCTAGAATATGGATAATCAAGCTATAATTACTGAGAATATTCCAAAATCAGAAACTTCTAAAAACTGAAAAAGGAGAACTGCAAGTAGAAATAACAGCACCAACATAGTAATTCGTAAATGCTGCCTTACTCAATTTACTCAATCATTACACTCTTGATAATATTTTACTTCAGAAAATCCAACAATACTATTGGAAATTATGGTAATAATGACTCATGTTCTGATGGCTGATTCATTATGTTAAAAACATACACAGAATAGGAGGCTGTCTCGTTAGTGGAATGCATATTGAAATGCAGTGACCTGAATATACATACTATAATTAAAGTCAGGAAAATAAGGCAAATTGAGAACAATTATCAAGATTTTCACCATGTTGACTGAAACAGAACAGTAAGATGCAGGGAAACATGCAGAATTGAGAACAATGAAATTAAATGGACAAGATAGCTCCCCATAAAACTATATTTTTTTAAAAGATACAAAATGAAGTATAGTTATGATCACAACTGAGGCTGGAATCTTCTGTTGGTGAGTGAACTGGTTAAGTAAGATGTCATGTGATCAATTCACTCAACAACCCAGCACTCCCCACTCCTGGCTATAGTTGTTATGATCTCCTGGGAAGAATGAAGTAAAAGGCAGAATGAAGTAAAAAAAAAAAAAAAGCTGGCTGAAAAAGCAGGATCTTGGCAGAGAGCATTTCCAGCAGCCTGAGGCATTTGCAGCCAATACCCAGAAATGAAGAGGGGGTTCTTTTGTTTCTGGCAGTTGGTTGCAAAGGCCCCATGTTAAAAATCCTGCTGGGTTTCAGGATGAACATTAAAAAAAAAAAAAAAAGACATCATATTTAAAAAAATAAGCCAAATAGGTTCTCTTAGCAGGCAACAGTGGCTTGTGAACTTCCCATCTGGTTTCTCAATTTTCGGAAAGATGGCAGGGTAGATTGTAAATGCAGGTCACATGATCACAGGGCGCTTGTCAGAAGTGCAAATGCGTTGTCAAGTGCCCAGATCACAATCATGGGAGTCTAGGACTGCTGCAACAGTTGTAACTCTGGGCACAGAGTCATAGTTCCTGGCTGTATTTGTCAGGAAAAGATTCAACAAAGTTTCCCCTGATGCCTTTTGATTAAAGGAGGTTGGACTAGATAGCTTCTAAATCTTGTCCAACTCTTGAATTTTTAAAATTCTATTTACAGTACCTTTTTTCATTGGTCTCTACTGCATCTTTCGATCTTTGTTTTGCAAACAACTTGGCCATTCTTTTAGCCTTATTTTTTTGTCTGCTACTCATTCCAGCTCGAAATTCCGAATCAATCAATTCCGCAGCTTGGAGAGTCTGAAAAGGTTTATAAATTTAGATGAATCTGAGAGAAGCAAAATTTTATTCTGATCATGAAAAACAACTTTCCCCACTCCACCTCTTGCTGCAGTTACTTATATTTCTCCCAATCTTGCTAAAGAAGTTGTACGGCTTTTTAGAAGAATAGGAGGAGCTTGAGATGCAAAATTACCCTTGGACTAAAGCTTACATCAATGTTTTGATCTCACCAACCTGTTCTTCAAAAGGAGAACAGATGCCCCTCAATCTGCAAAATCATTTCTAGTGATAATCTTGATTGGCCTTTCTAAAACAGTATTTATTTGCAGCTTACAAAGAAATAAAAAAAATCCACTGCATATGTCCATGCAGTCAAATAGCCTGAAGTTTTACCTACAGGTTGTTTGTGTACCAGAATCGATGAAGCTGGGGTGTAGTCCAAGTCCTCATCATTGAACAAATCTTCTGTGCTCATTCCAATTGCAGCTCCCATATCAAGGCCAAGTTTCTTTTGAAGCAGTTTCCTTTGTCGGGCTATTCTTTCTTTAGGATCTACTTCACCTTAAAAGGGATAACAACCTATGTTCTTACAAAGCAGGTCTATATTTTTCTGAAATAAAGTACTGAACACATCTTTAAATCTAAAAGCTCCCCCAACCCTTAATAGCTTAGCTTTCTCCAATCATCTTTATAACAAAAGAATTTTGTACAAAGTACACCAAATAGTTCCTGATTATTGCTATGTTTGGTTTGCAAACTATATACAGCTTTTATTGTTAGAACACTGTTTGAAAAGAAAAACTCTCTCTCTTTAGAAGTGCTATTATATAAGGCCTGCACAATAATTTACTTTGCTGCTACGTTATATTTTTCAAGCAACTAATATTGTCAAGGTCTTATTCCATTATTAACTTTCGGTAGCTTACTCACTACAGAAAAACAAAGTTCTGAAAAAGCTTATTCACAATTCATATGCGCCTAGAATAGAGCTTGCAAAATATACCCAACTATTTAATTCAAAGATACTAGCAGAAGATTATGTTTAGAGTGTATCTTCTATGAAATGAAAGTCTTCTTCCAATGATAGAAAAGTTTTTATACAGAACATGCAGCATTCCTTCTCTGTTGCCATTCTTGAATATATATCTGTTCCTCTCCTCTCTCTGAAAGAGCCCTGAAAACCTGGTTCTTCCCTCAGACCTTGGGTTTGGTCCTATGTTATTGTTTTTAAATTATTTTTCTTCCATATGTTTGGGTTTTTAAGTGTATTTTACCCTTGATTTTATTGTGTGCCACCCAGAGTTGTATGGCCTTATAAACTGAATAATATAAAAAATAAATATTCTGGTCAGTAACCGTAACAAGAATATTCATTCATTCATTCAAAATAAATAAATAAATAAATAAAAGAACACCTCCAATGAAAAATTCATTAATTCCTCTCCCTCTGCTGCCTTCTGTGCTGCCCTTCTCTGCTCAAGAGAGCTCTGGAACTTTCTAGAACCCACCAGGGCTGAAGAGAGAACAAAGGATTGGAAAACAAGGCCTTATTTCACTCTTCACCAGCCAAGTGCAATTAAAAATGTAATTCTGTAAAAGGAGAAATTCTCAATCTATTCTGATACTACAAATATATAAAATCAAATTAATGCAACAAAAATAGAAGAATCAACGTTATTTCAAGGACATGAACATACACTGCTCAAAAAAATAAAGGGAACACTTAAGCAACACAATGTAACTTCAAGTCAATCACACTTCTGTGAAATCAAACTGTCCATTTAGGTAGCAACACTGATTGACAATCAATTTCACATGCTGTTGTGCAAATGGAAGACAACAGGTGGAAAGCAGAGGCAGGTAGCAAGACATCCCCAATAAAGGAGTGGTTCTGCAGGTGGTGACCACAGAGCATTTCTCAGTTCCTTTGCTTTCTGGCTGATAGTTTGGTCACTTTTGAATGCTGACGGTGCTTTCACTCTAGTGGTAGCATGAGACGGAGTCTACAACCCACACAAGTAGCTCAGGTAGTGCAGCTCATCCAGGATGGCACATCAATGCGAGCTGTGGCAAGAAGGTTTGCTGTGTCTGTCAGCGTAGTGTCCAGAGCATGGAGGTGCTACCAGGAGACAGGCCAGTACATCAGGAGACGTGGAGGAGGCCGTAGGAGGGCAACAATCCAGCATCAGGACCGCTACCTCTGCCTTTGTGCAAGGAGGGACAGGAGGAGCACTGCCAGAGCCCTGCAAAATGACCTCCAGAGGGCCACAAATGTGCATGTGGCTGCTCAAACGGTCAGAAACAGACTCCATGAGGGTGGTATGAGGGCCTGACATCCACAGGTGGGGGTTGTGCTTACAGCCCAACACCGTGCAGGACGTTTGGCATTTGCCAGAGAACACCAAGATTGGCAAATTCGCCACTGGTGCCCTGTGCTCTTCACAGATGAAAGCAGTTTTACACTGAGCACATGTGACAGACGTGACAGGGCCAGGAGACGCCGTGGAGAATGTTCTGCTGCCTGCAACATCCTCCAGCATGACCGGTTTGGCAGTGGGTCAGTAATGGTGTGGGGTGGCATTTCTTTAGGGGGCCACACAGCCCTCCATGTGCTTGCCAGAGGTAGCCTGACTGCCATTAGGTACCGAGATGAGATCCTCAAGACCCCTTGTGACCATATGCTGGTATGGTTGGCCCTGGGTTTCTCTTAATGCATAACAATGCTAGATCTCATGTGGCTGGAGTGTGTCAGCAGTTCCTGCAAGACGAAGGCATTGATGCTATGGATTGGCCCGCCCGTTTCCCAGACCTGAATCCAATTGAGCACATCTGGGACTTCATGTCTAGCTCCATCCACCAACGCCATGTTGCACCACAGACTGTCCAGGAGTTGGGGGATGCTTTAGTCCAGGTGTGGGAGGAGATCCCTCAGGAGACCATCCGCCACCTCATCAGGAGCATGCCCAGGCGTTGTAGGGAGGTCATAAAGGCACGTGGAGGCCACACACACTACTGAGCCTCATTTTGACTTGTTTTAAGGACATTACATCAAAGTTGGATTAGCCTGTAGTGTTTTTTTCCACTTTAATTTTGAGTGTAACTCCAAATCATAGACCTCCATGGGTTGCTACATTTGATTTCCATAGATAATTTTTGTGTGATTTTGTTGTCAGCACATTCAACTATGTAATGAACAAAGTATTTAATTAGAATATTTCATTCATTCAGATCTAGGATGTCTTATTTTTGTGTTCCCTTTATTTTTTTTGAGCAGTATATTTCAAATGAAATAATTTCCTATGAAGCAATGGGGAATTACTGAGCTTTGAAAAGGAATATTCCATGAATGTAAAACCTGTGAGGAGTAATTCTGTCACCAAAATCAGGAGTTTCTATGTGAGCAGGGTGAAAATTTAGAGTCACTCGCTTAGCTGATAAAGATAGTAAGATTCTGGCAGACGTGGTTATCTGAATTATTAAGATGAGATCATGATTCAGTTAGCTGTAGAAGCAACTAAATAAATGTATTTAATCACAAGAACAGATTAAAAAAATTTTTTTTTACAAACACATGAAAAAAAGAGTATTGCTAAGTATACAGGACAACTTGAAATATTAAAGGAACAAATACCAGATGTATCATCCTGAACTTCAAATTCAGCACCAGCAGATCCAAGAAGAGAAGCGCCATGCTTTAAAAGTCGGCAAATATCAAATTTGTCAAAACGCAACCGATCAGAAGTAGAGGTGTCTTCCACCTGATTTTCACAGCCTCGTTCTAGATAAAAGTTAACAAAACTTAGAATGAGATCAAGGTAAAGGACATGGCCCAAACATAATTCAGACATTAATCATTTTGCTAACATTGTGAAGAATTAAATATGCAAGCACAGCGAAGAAAGAGATAATGCTCTTATCATATAACTGCTAGTTTCCCAATATTTAATGCCTAAAGAACATTTTTGGTACTTGCTATACTTCTTGCCCAATTGATTTCATTGATTAAAATTTAAAAAGTAACTAGAAAGACAGCAAAGCAAAGCACCACACTTCTGCTCCAAATAAAGCTTTAGGGACTCATGTAAACACCCAAGGTGTTCTTAGAAAATGAAAGTGTCTGGTTGCATCTTAATGCTTTTTTTGCGGGGGGGGGGGGGCATGCCCACCTGCTCAGACAAAAATAAAAAGCATACTGAGATGGTACAGAGCATCAGGGGAGCTTAGAGGAGGCTTGGGGAAACAACCTTAGTGATTTGTTTTCTGATAAATGGAAGCTGAAATTAGCCACCTGCATTATGTCAGTCATTCTGTGAGAAAGCATCTATAATATTTTCTCCATACAGTACTCCTAATTTGCCCCAGAGTCAAAAAAGCAGTAGACCCCTTATTATACAGAAAAAAAGATCTTACAGGCAAGGTCTAGAAAAATTCTAGAAGTTGAAATCCATACGCGCACTATATACATATATAAGCAGAATTTTGTATAGCTCTCTTTAAAGCACCTTGCTTTGGCTGTGGAGTTGGATTCCATTCCGGTATATTTTTTACTATGGCTTCCACAGCTTGTCCAGCTGCAATGCGGGAATCCCAGTTTGTACTCCTTAAGTGTACCAATACCTTTAAGAAATTTTTTTAAAAAGAGTTATTCATATTTCTTACCTTAAATGCACTTCATTTAATTCCTGACTAATATTGCAGAATTTCTGAAGACTAAAAAGCTTTAAAAGGGTCAATAAATATAGGGCAAACCACTTTTAAAGATCTCCCATAAGCTGGCATTATCAAATGCTAGATTGAAAGTGTCAATATTGATCACTAAATTTAATGTCATTTTTCTAATTATTTGGTTTGTATGAAAGTCTCTACAGAAATCTAAATATTTTATGATTATCATCAATTATATGGCTTTCTACGTTTCATATTATTATTATTTTTGCCAAAAACCATTTAAATTAACCTAATCTTTTAATGATTTGAAGACAGGCCACTAAAGAAGAATCAATGTCTTTTAAGAACATAGATAATACTATTGATTAGCAAGAGAAAAGACTCAAGAATTGGAAAAACAATAGCTCAGTAAAAAATTCTATGTAAAATTCAGCACATTCAATATCACTTCCAAGACAAATATGCATGGTGTTTAAAAAACTATGTCCCACCCTCTCAAATGGATATGGCAGAATGTTCTGTATTTTGAGAAACATTTATGGAGAAAATAATGCTATATTTGCTTAAAGCACCCATATTTTAGTTTTCCTGAATCTAGCTCCCCTTCAGACTCTAATCCCACCCATTTTAGTATATAGCCCTCAAAAGGCCTAACACAGTTCCCAAATTACAGAAATTCTGCACTCCTAATAAATAAGGCCAATGTATAAATACATTCATTAATATCTCAACGCACTCCTCAATGCTTAGAATGCTCTTTCAGTGATAGAATGCTACAGAAAATACAATCTGGCCTTTGAGAGGGAGGAATAAATCCAACACTGTTTTTTCCTCTGCTCAATCATGTTCAATTCTCAATGCTGCCAGCACAACCCCTGTAGTTTTCTCAGCAAGGCTTTTTAAAAGTGGTTTGCCATTGCCTCCTGCCAAGAGCTTAGAGAAAGTGACTGGCCCAAGGTCATCCAATTGGCTTTATGTCTAAAATGAGTCTAGAATTTATGGTTTCCTGGTTTCTAGCCTGATGCCTTAACCACTACATCAAACTCTTAGAACCAATGGTATAATTGCTTATAATAACATCCAAAGCATTTACCTTAGCCAGGAGATTATTCAATTCATGTGGATGAAGTTTTACAACCTCCCCAAGTTGCTGGGCAGCTGCTTTCCTTGTTACCGGTGTCGTGCCAGTGTCCAATAAGATAAAGAGGCGATCAAGCCTGACAGAGGGAGCAAGATAAACTATATAAAATATATATTCTGCCTTATCAATCTTAAAACAAAATACAATCATGTTTAATGAATATACTACAATTGCCAACCAGAGTTTGAAAGAACTCCAGTTGTTGTTTTTCTTACGTTTCATAAAAGTATTGTTTGGAAAACTTATGAGAAAAAAACTCATGCTATTTCAAGTCAAAGGACTTATTTTTTTAGTTCCATGTTTAATCATCAAGTGGCGGTATACAATAGAAAGCATACTTTCTATTATTTCATCTCTCCAACTAATTACATAGAAATAGCTTTGGAGAAAATGTTTTATTTGCAATAACGAGATCTAATATCTAAAGTTGATATTGGGACACAAACTAATCCTTCCATTCCTACTTGCCACTACAGGTAGTACGTTTAGTGGTTGTTTGAAGTTATAATGGCACTGAAAAAAGGGACTTATGGCCGTTTTTCACCCTTGAGATCGCTGCAGCAGCCTCATGGTCACTTAATCAAAATCCAGACCCTTGGCAACCGACTCATATTTATGATCTGGGTTCATGTGATCACCTTTTATGACCTTCTGACAAGCAAAGTCAATGGGAAAGTCAGATTCACTTAACAACCGAAATACTGATTTAACAACTGCAGGGTTTCACTTAATGAGTGAGTCAAGAAAGATCGTAAAATGGGGCAAATCTCTTAACAAATGTCTCACTTAGCAACAGAAGTTTTGGGCTCAATTGTGGTTGTAAGTCGAGGACTACCCGTATACGTGAGCGCTTGCCAGTGGCAATTTATGCTAAAAAACAAAACAAAAGCTGTCTGTGCCTTTAACATAATTATTATAAAAACAAGGTACCTATATAATACCCCCACAGCCAAATTTTTGGGAACGATTTTTTTCAAATTTCTGCTGCTTCAATGTCATTTCGCAATCCAGAATCAAATGTTTGGAGTATCATTGGGGAAGCAGAAAGATCAATTAAGATAGAAAATTTAGAGGTATTTCTGTTCCATTCCAAACAGGTAAAGATTCTCCCGTATTTTTTGTTTTCTATTTGCTGTAATGATGCTTGATTTGGGGGTTTTATTAACTTTTTTTTTAAAGCTCTTTGGCTTTTCCATCTGGAGTTTGTTTTTGGCTTCTGAAATAAAAAGGTAAAGAACGCAACTCCTGTGACACACAGATTAAAACCACGTCATTTTCTTGTCTCTCTAAACAGAAAAACATCTGACAATGGATCTGCCTCAATACGATAGAATAGTCCTTAGCAGAGCAAGATTTGAACAGCTGGATTCTACGATTAAATACACACAATTCCACCAAGTGTCATCCTCTGAGTGTCTGCAATTGTAACTTCAAATATAGAAGATGTTGTATATGTCTTATTTGCCAACTAAATGCCCCAACAAGGGCTCAGTATTTACAGATATTATCTGACAGAGTCAGACAGTAGGACCTCAATAAGAAACTGTTTTATAGGTAGACCTTGCCTTAGATTGTTTAGTGACTGTTCAGTTACAACGGCACTGAAAAAAGCGACTTCTGACCATTTTTCACACTTCTGACCCCTGCAGCCTCCCCATGGTCATATGATTTACATTTGGATGCTTGGCAACTGATTCACATTTATGACGATTGCTGTGTCCTGGGCTTATGTGATTCTCTTTTGCAAGCAAAGACAATGGAGACCCAGATTCACTTAACAACCATGTTACTAATTTAACAACTCGTAAGTTTAACTGGTCACAAGTTGAGGTCTACCTGTATTTCAGGACAAAAACATTAAAACACAAAAAGGGTTCTGAGAAGAGGGCTCTCAATTGAGAACACATTTTATAGAACCTTCTGGGGATAACACATAAAGGTGATGTGCATTTATCTGAATACATCAGTTCTATATTTCAGCATCCATTTTATTTTTAAGTATTCTTTTGTTATTCTATTTTATCTTATATTACTTTAACCTCCCTTACCTTGTTTTATCATCTTATTCCAGGGGTGTCAAACTCATGGCCTGCAGACCGGATGTGTCATGCGCTGGCCATGGTTTAGCAAACAGAAAAAAAGTTGAGATACATCATGTGATGACAATGTATCATTGTGAGTCTGACACCCCTGTCTTATTCTATTTACCTTACCTTTCTTGATTACATTTTGTTTTATCTTATTCCATTTTATTCGACTGACCCTCATTGTTCGTTGAAATGTTCAACTGACTAAGCAATAAAGAGACAATCACTATTACAATATTTTTGGCAACAGTGTGGAAGTACAGGTGGTCCTTGCTTAATAACCTCTCATTCAGCAACTGTTCAAATTTATGATGATCATGGGCGAATGGTCATGTGACTGTGATCCGGGGGTTCAGTCACTGCCTTACCCAAAATCACAATACTGCAGCATCCTGCAGTCACGTGATGACCATTTGTAGACATTCACTACCAGATTCCAACAAGCAAAGTCCATGGGAAAGCTGGCAGGAGGTCACAAATGGGAATTATATGTCACGTTTAAAGGCAGCAATTTTACAATGTGCCATTTAACAATGCAAATTCGTCCCAATTGCCATCATTGTTCAAGGACTACCTATAGTTTCCTGTTTTTCTTTGAGATGCATTTTATTTATTTATTTTTACTTTCCAGTTGGTTACAGGCATGGAATTCTTCGAGTACTGCTCAACACAATACTAACCAAACTCAAGCCTGCTTAACTTCTCAACGTAGACATGTTTAAAGAAGTTTAAAGGTAATAGCAGATGCTATTACCTGCTGAAGGTCTGTGGGATATATTTTATTATTTCACATATTTCCTTTCTAAAGCTTCCAAGACAAATTTGCCTGATCTTTTCAAATAACTGCATAGCTACAATGTCATGTGCAATAAATTGAACCTTTCCAGTTTTCTAAGCTTTAGAAGTTAAAAAACTTGAATGCTGTCTACCTTTTCCCATTTTTAAAGTCCTTTTAACAGGTTGGATTAATAAAAGTTTACATAGAACAAAAATTATGTAAGAATTAAAAATTAAACGGCTACTAATGTTGTCAGTTTTGAATGTCAGGAAATCAATTACCTATACAATGTAATTTCTGCAGACTAAAAGCTTATTTTAGTTTTGCATTCAACATTCTTTTGCATTTCTAAATACCATTTGTAATTACTGTTGTTCTTCCTAATTCTTCAAATCCTGTCGGTGGAATCTATTCACCCTTAAATAGCTGTAAATATTTCCCTCTTTTAGCTCTGACATGTTTTAAGATTAGGGTGGTTTACGGGTGGAGATGCTCAGTTCCTCTTTGCTACCAAGGCATTAAAGAATCTTGCATACCTCCCATACATTAACAAATCATGAATGGAAATAAGAAGTGAAGTAGGATTACAGTTTGTTTGTTCCAGATAGGAAACAAATTAAACATACCATAACATGATTATGTACTGAAACAGGGGTTCACATTGACAACACATATTCCTTAATAGACATTTGAGAGCCTATTGCTATTCATATTATTATTATTAAAGGATATTGTTCCTTGGTTTTGTATACCATATTGCTTTTTTATAAGAAACTCAATATTCACTGGGACCATTTAACTTGAAATCTTATTGCATCTATATTATATCTCATATTCATATGTCCATTGTACTATGCTTATAATAATCCCAGTAGAAATTGAAAATATATACTTAAGGACAAATTTCAGACACACTATCCTCAAATCATGTCATTATAATAGTTTTTATTGAAAAGTAGGCAAATTAGGTACTACGTTCTTCATAAAAAAAATTCTTGTGGTTACACAAGAAAAAATGTAGAGGTAAAATTAAAACCAGAAACTAGATTCTCTGTACTATTTAAGAGGGTATCACCTTATAGAGTGGATACAAATAAAATTTAAAATAGAAGTAACAGAAGCATGTTCAATTTAGAATCACATGGTTTTAAAAGATAAATGCTGAAATATGCATTATTCAAATATTTACAATAGGCCTATTATGTCAATTCAAGCCACAACTCAATGAACAATGAAATGCTGTATTAAACAATAGACCACACAATCACTTTTATTTTAGAGAAGTAATAAAGACACAGTCATATAGGAGGGGAAACTCTGTATGCTGCCTTGAGCTGCTCAAAGAAAGGCAAAAAATTAAATATTTTTTAAAATTAAATGTATTAAAAATGCATGCAAAAACTATTAGCTCAGAAAAAATATGTGGCTGCTTTAACAGTTTAAACAGAATTCTTCATATGTACTACTGTACTGTACTTGCTGAAGCAACTGTTTTGGAAGATTTGCACAGCTCTATCTTATCACCTGCCAACTGCTTATTATAGGGAACAGTTTGTGCCTGTGTATTATTGGAATAAAGACTCGCTTTTTGGCTACATTTATCAAATGGTGATTATTTTCCCAATAGTGATCCTTATTTGCTTATATTATAAAAATGTTTCCATTTAAGTCTTATTATAATTTGATTTTCAATGTACAATGAAAGGTCTAAATTTAGAAGACCAGAAAAAGCTTAAAGGAGCACATTAAAATATTTACAAAGTAATATTTTGAAGAATTATAAACATTCAGTACTACCATAACTTGCAATTCTACCACGGATTTTTGCTTCCCTAAAAGAAATGAAGGGATGCAACAGCAGACAAAAAGGGCATTGGTACTTAACGCCCCTGCTCTTTGAGCTGCGAGGAGCATCCAGTAGTGGGAGGTGCTTCAGTCTCTGCTTGTTTAGGCTGGGCTTAATTTGCGGAACGCTCCTCCTCCTCCATGGGACTCCTCCCCAGCGTTCCCCAGTTTTGGCGAAGATGAGAGAAACAAACACCCTCGCCCTTAATACGCTAAAAATTTGTTGCCCGAACCAGGATCCCATCAGTCAGAAGAGGGTGGGGCTGGATGCTCTTCGCAGCACAAAGAGAACGGGCGTGTCAGGTAAGTACCAACACCCTTTCTCCCACGAGCTGCTCAGAGCATCCAGTAGTGGGACATACCAAA